TAACTCCTTTTCACATAGTCTAGTCCTTTTCCAATCCTCTGCCCACATAATCAGGCTGTTGATGGCTGCCCAGATATCTTTTCAGCGCAGGCTATTTCTCAGTCCATACAAAGCAGTGTGAACTGGTGGGCTGCTCATAGCCCCACCCATGGGGCAGGTTTTCCTCTCCACTATCATTGATGGTCACCCTGAATATTGTCCTAACCAGCTGCGGTCCATTTTTGGCTTGCACCCGTGTGTCAAGCTGACCTGTCTATGAAGTATGCTCAGCTGGATATATAAGCCATCTTATTGCTGGCAGAACAGGGCATGAAGGGCACAAGCAGGCATGGTGGCTGACTTACAGGTCTGGGTTTTCTGCTCCTATAAGTCATTTGTGCCTTATGCCGTAATTTGATCTGGGATGTACAGTTTCCATCTCATGGTGTATGCTGCTGGTCAACTTAATAACTTGGCTGACAAACTCAAAGCTTGTAATGGGGAGCCTTGGATGTCTGGTCCCTTGTGTTCTATAGTCTGTACCTGGGCCCGGTAATACATCAAGAGCTTTTTCAAAGGGTATATAAACCTCTGCTTCAGTGGCATAGCCTTACTTCAGAATCCCAGGGGCGTATGTTTCATTCTTCCCATGGAACTTGGTATGGGCCCAATCCCATCTCTTTTCCCAGCACTGACAATTCTGTACCATCCATGTTCCACTGGTCATACAGCCTAAGCAGCCAGGCTGCTCGCACCATCTGGCCTCACTGCAGAGTCCTTTCTTGCTCAAGACCTCTCTCAAAGTTGGCAGCTGCCATGTTACCCTGTCTGTGGGCCAGAGCAGTGTCCTAGGACCCCACTTAACAGACACTGTGCTTCCTTCTTCATGGTGGTGGATACAAGATACGTCTTTTACTTAGGAGGGGATATCCCAGCATGCCTCTGACCACTGGGGCCCTAGAAACCTCACGGTAGTTGCCAGACTCTGCATTGTCACAGGGTTTATCTCCCACACCAGGGAGCATGTGTCTTACCCAGGCCTCCAGTGTGTTAGGTGCCCACCACTTGCTCCTTCCATGCAGTCAGCATGATGTTGTCAATCTCTTGCCTCCTTTATCAGGTCCAGCACTAGTTACCAATGAGGCATCCGGGAAGGGATAATGTGCTGACTTGTGGACAGAGGCCTGTGCAGTACCTTCCAGCTCACTGGTGTGCTAACCACTCCAGAGGGTCCTAGTGGGGCAGTGGAGGTGTTTGGATCAATGTCAGCATGAGCACCCACCAGAAGTCCCTGTCCCAGTTTTCAGGATTCCAGGTTTTCTTTGCCGTGGCCTGGTGCATTAGAGTCCTGCTTTGATTGAACATTCAAATGTCCTGAATTCTGTAACTCTCATAATTGGGTCCTCAGTCTGCAGTTCCATTGCAGGGCATGATGAGGACCACTTTGTACCAAGCAAGAAGACTCTGAGGTTCTCATACTTTGCTATTAAGTGCTTGTAAACAGCTTCCAGTATCACTATTTTGTGCAACCTGGCAGTAATGAGCCAGCTCTGCTGTTTCTGTAGGTGTTTTTCCTTCTGTGTCCAAGGGCCTGCATTATTATGCATGTCATGATATTTCCCTCCACCAGGATATCTTCCAGATCACTTACCAGTGAAATCTTTGGCAGTTGAACATGACCTTGTGACAGGACTATCCATTCACTGCCTATGTGTAGGATGGCATCCTTGACAACCTGTGGAGTGGTATAGAGCAAGTCTTTGAGTTCCGTCTTACAACCTGTATTGTTAAAGTACTCAGTGCCACCTGAATTAGTCTGGGTCCTTCAAGAAACAGACACCAAGGTGGATCATACCCCAAAGATTTTATTAGGGGAATGCCTGTGTGAAAGGAAATAGCCAGAAAAGGCTGGAAAATCCATTAAATCATTATGCAAGTCCAACCTTAGTGAAGGGGAGAGGGCAGAAGGTCCTCCTAGTCCACTGTGCAGTCTGAGGGAGATTGGGCAAGACCATTGGGGGTCTTTGTCTTTCTCTCGTCTATGTCAGTTTCAGTTATTTCATTCTTATTTCCTGCTGCTGACTAACTTTGTCAACCACCATTTCATATGGTAGAAAAATTACCACTCTGCTGTTCAAGAGAGCAGCAGCTAGGCTGGATATCATGGCCCCACTTTCAAATTCCTAGGGAAGGGCTGGCCTGGTTTTAGCTGTCTCGAATCTAGTTCACAGTTATGTGAACCAAGTTGTCTCTCTAAATTGAAACATTTCCCAGAAAAGTTGGACAGACTATAGGTTTAACACTAATACTTTATGTAACGTCTAATAATTCTTAAACATTTGATTAGCAAACTGATTTTTTTCCTACCCTATAGAATGACTTTGAAGAATGATTTGAATGGGTCACAGGTCTTCCAGTGAAGTAACTGAGAGGCATACTTGTCATTGGTGACTGTTTGGGTTAGTTTATTACATGTTTGTTTTTGCTTCTGCAAAGCATTTTCAAGAGTAATGACTAACTCAACATTTCCTCCTTTAACTGTTCCTTGCTGTTCAATTTATTCAAACAGATTAATATGAGATTAAAATAAAGGCTGTATGGAAAAAATACATCTGTTAGAATACTTCACACTGAATCAGAAAGCCATAAAAGTCATTACTAGGCAATTAGAACTTTTAAAAGGAGCTATGAGATCCTTTTTCTAAAATTGTAAAGACTAGTCTGTCCTTTCTCTGTATATTGACAAGTGTGGGAGCTCCAAATGTATTGTGATAGCAAGAAATGAAAGCTAGGCTTAATTAGTCATAGCTGAAATACAACAACAGGCAGTGCTCAAGTGAAGGCTCGCTGAATAGAATTGTGTATGTAGGACACATGGGGAAGCACCTGGTTGTCAGTGGAGGGGGACAGACTATGACTAGGGCATGAAGAAAAGGTGAGGGAGGGTAAGCAGATTTAGGATCAGCTGGCTTGATAATTTAGGCAGGCATGATGTGCCTAGTTGTCTGGTACCCGACCCTGCTTGATTAGGGAAGGGGACTGTGGTCGTGAGTGTGAGAGCTCCACAGAGAAGGTGGTCGGGATGTGAGTTCCGGACTGGTAGCTTTGCATATGAAAGGCCAGCTCCTATGAGTTGTTTACTAGGTCATGAAATTGACTAGTCCTGATAGGAGCAGCCCCTGCAGTCAGCAAGGCCCCAGATGTCAAAGTATCAGAATCCAGAAAGTAGGCGTGCTTCACACACCTGTATAGAGTTAAGGTTTTCCTTTTACATTCAAATGACATCTTAAGCAAGTCTCCAGGTTAGCACTCTCAGCAAGGCTGCCACAAATGCGTGGAGCATCCCAGGGCCTAGCATATAATCAGCTGTGCCATAGGGAGGGGATGTCTTAAAGAGGTAAGTGAGGGCCTTTGGCAGGAGTTGGGGTGGGCATCAAAGCAAGGTGCAGGCACTTATAACTAAGCATCAAGAAAATCCTGTAAACGTTTTCAAGGCTCCCAGTGTGGAAAACAGCCTATGGTAGTTCCCGGGTATATCACGGTGACAGTATGTCTCATGTCAAGGAAAGAGGGGAAAAGAGTTTCAGATGTGTTTTGGACATGCTATGGGACCTCTGTGTGATATGTGTATAATTAGGATTCTATCTATTTGAACAAGTATGGTATAAAGAAATGTGTGTGGTGTGGTGGGCTGGGAGATGCTGTGTTGGCATGTTTCTGGGCATGTTGAAGATTAAAAATGGGAAAGGGTAGCATTTCATCATCAACAAAGTGAATGTGGAAAGGGGGAATACTATATACACAATCATCATTCAGCTCATAAATCTCATGTTTATCCCAAACTGTTTAGAAAAACCCCTCTTTTGAGAAATTATTTAAAAGCTAATTCATGCTCATGCCTGTCTCACAAACCAGCATTACAAGCAGACTGCTGATGAATTCAGAGCCCCATGGTCTGTTCCTTCATTAACTTCTCTGTGCCATCTTTAGGTGCCTTATCCCACCCCCAACCCTGGTTGCTCTGTGCTTCTTTATGGACATTATGATTTTCGTTGCCTGATTTTCTTTTAGTTTTCAGTGAATCCCTACTGATCAGTTTTCAGTGCTTTTCTTTTCCACCCTTTATGCTTTTATTAGGTTTATTAATGATTTTTCTTATTTTTTTCCCTTACAAAGAATTCTGGTTTATTATATTGTGATTAGTGACCACCCTAATGTGCCTTCTAATTGATTCTTCAAGAAAGAGTGACAACTCACAGTTCTTACACTTTGGCTCAGAGACTTGTACATCTGGAACTTCCATGTTACAACATTCCTTCCTCTGTGTGCACCTCTTCCTTTACATAATTTTAATGTAAACAGTGTTACCTGTTTTCCGTGATTCAGCTTTACCCTCAACCAGTCAACTGTTCCTTTTTTATTCCTATAATCAGAATAATAATTAACATTATACCAAAATATAAAATTAATATAATAGGTCACAATTTTGAGTGTTACTATGTGCCACACACTATTCTGAGTAATTATGGATGTAATAACTCAGTAAGTCCTCACTCTGTGAGGTAAGTACAGGGTGGAAAACTGAGGCACAGAAAGTGATGTTCCCTAAGCAATGCACCTAAGACAATAGATGCAACAGTACTCAAATCTGCAAATATGGTCAGTATATTCAGCTACCTCCTTAATGGACATGAGGCAGAAATAGTCAATGAAAACATTGGATAATATAGCTGTCACCACTTTTGCCCTCTTTTGCATAGTTCTCCATACTGCCTCTACCACAAGGCCCTTTGTGAAGTAGCCCTTATTCACTCTTCAGTCTTCAGTCTGTCACCTACACAGTGAGGTTGCTGATGGTCCTTCATTGCCAGCACTCCACCTCCACACGGTTTCAGAACCCCCTGTCCATTAATCTGTGTGGTTGGATAAATGCCTCACTTCCTCACTAGAATAAAGTTCCATTGGAGTACTTTGTCTGTTTTCACTTAACATTGTGTCCTTGTCACCTCACATGCTGCCAGGAATGTGGCAGGTGCTCAGAAAGTATTTCTTGGATGCAAGAACAAAGGTATGAAGAAAGGAGGAAGAAAAGCAAAGGCTGATTATACACTGACTGCGTTCTGGCTCTTTAGGTACAGTAGACCATTCTGTTATTGTACCAGGTGGAAATAAGTTTAAGTTCAAGTTACAGACAACCCAACTACAGTGGCTTAAGCAAATATGGTATTACTGTTTCACACAACAAGAATTGCAGATGGGCATTTCAGCCTGGTTTGACTACTAACAGATGTCACCAAGGTCCTAGGCTTTTCTGTGTTTCTCCTTCTGCAAATTAGGTCACATGACAATCTTGACAAAATTACAGTCACTGAATTTTCTACTGTGATAGGTGCAGATTTGTTGCATGAGTAGAAGATTTGATACTCTATATACCTCCTTAAACAAAAAGTTTTATTTTATTTATAATGTACTTTTTGAGGAGAACTGTCAAAGGGATTCCCAGGACAATGTGGAAGTATCCTTTCCTGAAGTATCTGGTGATCCTTCACTGTCTGTTTTTAATTAACATCTTAAGGTATTAAAGCTAATTGGAAACTGTGTATTGGGAGACATTACCTGGTTCACAATTCAATAGGGGGATATCCTGGTCCAATATTAATGTTCATAGATCTTTTATTTTCAAACATTTGCAGGGAAGAATGTTCTGGTCTCATTCAGTGGGGAGTTAAAACCAGGCTCCAGTGTTCTGGAAGCCAACTGGAGAAGGGAGATGGGGAGTGGGGAGCCTATCTATTGTATCTTACCATTCAGAATAGACTTTGATTTAATACTGGTTTCAGTGCATTTTCTACCCCAACCTTGAGCTATGTCTAGTTTCTCAAGTCCAGATCCTCTCATTCACCTTTTCCAGAGAGTAAAACATGCTGGGTGAGGTGGAGGAAGGCCAGCCCAAGAAGGGAGAAGGAATGCATAAATGGAGTTTTAAAAGCCAGTCCTGTTTCATGCCCCTCCATCCCCTGTTTCATAGATACCTGGCATCTCCTATTCTTAAACTTTGTTGGGGACAGTTGGCGTAGTTCTGTGGCACAGGTGAGCTTCCTTCCTGACTCTCTCCACTTGCAGCCTAGATATGTCTTTTGTGCGTCTCAATTTGATCAAGCTCTGCCCATAGTTTTAGGCCTCTTGTGTCCTGCTCTTAGTCTTTGTGGGTTTATGCCTTTTCTCTCTCTCGTCATTTCAGTGGAGAGGGAGGGAAGGTAAGAATGCATTCATTCACTCATGCTTACCTAGAAATTTTGCATATATTATTTATCTATAAAGTAGGATTTTACTGTACATTCATTTTTGATCTCTATAAAATTTGTTATTCAACATCTTTTGCATATTTAGCTAATTATTTCATGTAGAAATGTCAGGATAATGAAAACTCCTGGGAAAGAGAATACATTTTCAAGGGAATAAAAACTCTAGATTTGTTAAAATGTGCAATGAGCCTTACTAAAAAGTGTCTGTTTAATTTTCAGATTGTGAGCCATGCCTTTAGTGAAGAGGAACATCGAACCCCGGCATCTGTGCAGGGGTGCCCTGCCTGAAGGGATTACCAGTGAACTTGAATGTGTAACCAATAGTACCCTTGCTGCTATCATACGCCAGCTAAGCAGTCTGAGTAAGTCATCTCATGTCTAGAACAAGTTTTTTCTGATGACTAATAGGGTTTTACTAATTTAAATATTAGCAAATAGATTTCAATTCATTAGTTATGTGCTTGTCCAAAGATGAGACTGCAACCTAATTGTCCCAGTGTGAAATTAACTGGCACCCTCTCTGGTCTTGTGACACCAATTTTATGTGATGAAAAAAAAGTTGTAATAGACCAATTCACAAATTATTAGATGATACCAAATAGGTAGATATGAAGCAATGTTACATAATTTTTAAAAGCTTATTAAAATTAGGATAACATAATTAGTTATTTTAGCTTTATTGAAGTATTTTGTTATACTCGGACAGGATTGTTTAATTTAAAATTTAGTAAATTGAGAACTAGTTAACACCTGTAATATGCCTGGCACAGAGCAGATGCTCAGTAAATATTTGTTGATTGAATAATATCACAAGTTAATCAAAGAATAAAGCCAAAATCATAAGATTTGCTGATTTTAACCTACAAAAGTTAAAATGCAGCTAGTGACTTCCAAATTGAAGTCAAATATGATTGTTACATATATACAGTAACACATACATATTAGATACATAGGTTATATAAACATAAGCAAATACTAGCATAAGGAAAAAAGGGCCTTCTGTTATTCTAATTTTGGACATTCATATGAAATACCCAAGGACTATTCCATGTTTTAAGACTCAAATGTGTGTTTCAAAATGTATGTTTTCTTTCAAAGCTCTTTTAAAGTTGCATTGTCTTTCCTCTTAACTTTTACATTTATATCTTGTTTTCTCACTTTATCCCACTCCTTTTTGGTTTAGCTCGTTTATACTTCATTTTGGGTGACAGATTTTCAAAGTTAAATTTTTCAGAAACTCTGTTAGTAACTAGAAAATTCTCCATGAAATTTCACCTAGTGGTAGGGTCAATCAAGCATGGAATGTTTCCTGAAGAAACAGTACTTTCTTTATTTTTCAGAAGAAACACTTTGGATAGATAAGTGTTTTTTAAAAGGATTTTACTGTATTGTTACCCATTAATTTTTAATATATCTATAATCATTGGCAAAGTCAAAACTAATTTGGAAGTTACTTAAATGTATTTCACAGTATCTTCTGGAATCTAAACTAATTACAGTTGATTTTTGGTAGTTGTTGATAAAATATATAAATTTGTGTAATTACAGAAAGATACCTTGCAAATTATTGAAGGATAAAATGTTTCTGTTTGCATTCATATATTTTTGTAAGAATGTTTTAGTCTCTGGTTTTTACAACTGAAATGTCTGTTGGCATACAGAATTAAGTAATGCAAATACACACAAACTGTTAAAGTTTTAATAGTTGAGCTGTATCTCATGGTGTAATAGTCAATTTAGTGTTATGTTAGTCATGTTTATGGTGCCCACTTGGCCACCATCTCTTATAAGTGAAACTAATCACACAGTATGTTTTGTTTCATATAGTCTGTGGTACGCATAATAAAACAGCCCCTACAAAGATGTCCATTGCTTAACCCTGAAACCTCAGATATGCAGATATTCTTTGTGGTGTGGCAAGGGGGAATTAAGGCTGCTAATCAGCTAACCTTAAGAGACAGTCATCCTAGGTTCTTCAGATGGTCCCAGTGTCATCACAGGAGCCCTTTAAATGTAGAAGAAGGAAGTAAAAGAACCAGTGACGGAGAGTTCTGGTATGAGAAAGGCTCAATTATCTGTTGCTGGCTTTGAAATAGAAGAAGAGGCCACAAGCCAAGGAATGCAGGCAGCCTCTGGACACTGGATTCTCTGCTAGAGACTCCAGAAGAAACACCTTAATTTCAGACTTCTAATTTCTGGAACTGTAAGATAATACACTTGTATTGGTTTAAGCCACTAAATTGGTGGTAATTTGATACAGCGGCCATGGGAAACTAATGTACCACTCTATCCTCAGTTATGTTTTGTACACATAATCCAGCTTTATGTGAGGTACTAGCTTCAAGGACATTCAGCCTCAGGCAGGCTGTCTCATTGGATCTCAACCCAGTCTCTACCAGAATCACTTGAGAGCTTTAAAACAAGAGGCTAGGAATCACTCCAGAGATTCTTATTAGGGTATGCAACAAAGATATGGCCTATGAATTAGATACTGTGCCTCTGGGTTGAAAAGATGAGCTGGATCAGTCACATTCTCAGAAGATTTGAACTAAGAAACAGTGCTGAAATATCATCCAGTACTATAGAAATCATGATGGCTGCCTGCAAGCCAAAGTTGTGGAGTAGGGCAGAGCTTGAGAAGTCAGAGGAAGCTAGCTGGTAAAGAAAGGCAAAAGCTGCAGAAACTGGAGCTGAACATGAGAGAGACAACAGGTCCCTTGTGAGGTGGAGAGAGCAGCTGGTCCCTGGACCTGCACAGAATGCCTTTCTGGCGCCCATACAAGGAGCGGTGCTTGGGTGTCTTCAGAGCAAACTTCCTTCTTCAAGTTCCTTGAGTGCATCTGTAAATGGAACCCAAAGAGCCTTATAAAAAGAGGAATATGGTGATATATATGCCAAGGCTATAATTTTGGAAAACTGAGGTACTAGGTTATTAATTATTGGTAGAATAGCAAATTGTTGGTTACCAGTGGTTTATTTGTTAGTGTTCATTCACTCGGTGCCCCTCTCAGTGCAACATAAAACAAATAAAATCAATTTGGTGCATACTTAGAAGTTAAAAAAGCTTATGTATTTGACATCAATATGGTCATTAAATAGAAAACATGCAGTTATTATGACATGCTGTAACACTGGTACATAATAAATGAGATCTGTATTTTGGGTCAATATTTTCTATGAGGTTTTCCACTGAGTAGAAATATTTTACAGGAGATGAGGTAAGTTATATGTAAAATTTTTGTATGATTTAAAAATTTTAGGAAGACTAAGAATTTAAAAGAATGTTTTTATGTTATCTTCTAATTTTTAAATTATTCAGTCTTCTAATTTTTAAATTATTAGATATTTTTTAAAGTTTTAGGAATGCATGAATCTGTTATTAAAAGTCTTTTACTTGAGTATTAATTCCCAAGATAATACCAAAACAGAATCTGTATTTTTATTCCTCTGAGTATTTGACCATTATTCAGTAGGTCCAGAAATAAGTGGGTCACCTTAATCTTTTCTACTTCCCTGCTCATCCTTTCACACCCTTGTTTTTAAAGCTTCCAAATACTTCGACCCCCAGATCAGGAACAGATGATGTACAATTATCTGAACTTCCTATAAGTGATACAGAGAGAGGGTAGAACTTGTCTACAAATGACATCTTGGGGGAACTTTAAGGATTTACCTCAACCCTAGTCAGGTCATACCTGCCTGAGCAGCAGACTTGCCCTGGAAAACCTCCAGAATAACTAACTCTCTCGTGGTCTAATGAAGGAAGAGGAGACCAGGAGTCTAGAATGAATATCTTTGATCTTTTCCAAAAAAGGAAGACCAGCAATAGGGGCACTGATTCATTGGATTATTCTGAGCCTCATCATATTTCTGGGGCAGTTCAGAGTGGTAAGGATATAAATGGTGCAGAAAGCAAGAAAAGAATCTGGACCTAGATACCAAATAGACCTCTGAACCCTCTGCATAGCTTTTGGGAAATCTGTAGGTTTTTTACCAGTTACCATGTTCACATCACATTCGAGTTAGATATTTGACTTGAAAATGCCAGAACTTTCATCAGCATTAGATTTTTACCAGGCTTTTCAGGGGTTTGAATCTTTACAATGAGAAAATATTGATTATTGGTATTGAGTTTAAGCGTAATTATAGAAAGGGGAAGTTTGTAATTTGAATAGCCTTCTAGGTAAAGAAAAACGATCAAAATCTTTCAAAGCTTTATCTAATAAAAAATAAATTAGTCTTTAGTAATTTTCTGATTTTTTAAAATTTGAGTATTATTAACTTCTACTGTGAATGACTAGAGGAGGTAAGGCAGTTAGAAGGGGAAAGAAAGCTACTTTTAAAAACAATTTTGGTTAATAGTGTGTAAAATAAGATCCTTGGTTTTCTAGCTCTGGGATATTGATATTTTTTCCTTCAAATAATGACAGTTTAGTGTAGCAATTAACATTAAATCAGAAGTGCTTTTTTTAAACCATTTTCCTTGATTAATCTGAATGCTCTTGTTCCAGTCAACAAGTTGCACAATTTAAATTGTAGTATCTTGTAATCAAATTTTAATACAATTTGCTTACAAAAAGAAATGGGAACATAGGGCATGTGGACCAAGGATGACACAGTCCTTTTTTAATAACATAGGCTGTTTTTACACGTTTTGTCTTTGTTCTTGTATAGCTGTCTTCCTTTTCCCCTCCTAAGACTGCACCCAATGTGTCACAAAGAAAGGAGTAAGAAGAACTTCAGTGCATCCCAAGTCTTTTGGTTATATTTAATGGAGCTAGTAAGATAATATAGAGAACTTGGGAAAGCACAGGAAAACAAAATGAAAAAATTACAAAATTTTCATTAGTTAGAGAAAATCATTGATAACGCTTTGTTTTTATCTTTATAAAAGTTTTATTTCATTATACATAAGGTTTTGTAGCCTATACTCACTTATATAGTAAACATCTTCGTTGATTCTTCTGACACATTTTTTAATAGCTAGAGTTTATAATATATTGATATGCCATAATTAACCATTTTTCTACTGTTGGACATATACAGGGATGGACAAAAGTAGGTTTACAGTTATGAGTACACAAAACACGAGTTTATTCTTGTGTTACTATTTATTAATGATTGTATTATTTTCCATATGAACAACTGTAAACCTACTTTTTCCTTCCCCTATACATTGTTTCTTTATTGGGAGACACTATCATAAATTTTTGTATCAAATTGATAGGTAAATCTGTGGTTATTTTAGGCAGTATTTTAGAAATTTTTTAAAAATTTCTTATGTTTTACAAGTTATCAAAGTTCCTCAAAAAGAGCAAAGATAGTTCTAATAAGTGGTACAAATTTTGAGACTCCATTAATT